GTAAATTCCTATGAAGGTGAACTGCAAAGTAACATACTTGGCATGCTGATTCTCTCTAGCATAAAGCAAATGCTAAAATATTGGCTTAAAATAAATAAAATGCCCCATAACACACTGGTGGCAGAAGAATTCAGTCTTGGAAACCATTTAGATAGTCAGAATACCCAAAACTGGGTCACCAGTGTTAAAAACATTTTCAATCTACCTGATGTAGATGTCAATGATGACAATATTATAAACACAAAATACATTCACAAATGCTTTCTTATGAGAAAAGAAAATATACAGAGATTGCCAGCTGCCCTGAAAATATAATGCATTCTTACATTTATATGTGAACTATTTATTTCTTTTTTCTTTTTATTTATTGTTGTTGTATTTTTTATATTTTAAATATATACTTTCAGTATCTTTTTAATCTTTATTGTATGTTAGTCCAGATCTCAATGGAGATAGATTGACAATAAAGTTATTATTATTATTATTACAAAGCTGGGAAGGTTCACACCTACATTTAATTTAATGCCTGCTAATTAATCATAATAATAACTTTATTGCCTCCGTGTAAAAGATTTACATAGAGTAAGTACAGCAAAAAAAAAAAAGAGTTTTAAAATACATGTAATAAGATATATGTAAAAATGTTATAAAAAGTGCATAACTAACAAATCGTTGTGTTGTGTAATTATAATTGCCAAGTTCTTTAATTGTGCCAGGATCTTTGCTTTAGAGTACTAGTTATATATGTAATTTTATTTTGGGTTGCATTACCTTGTATCTTTGTGTACATAATACCAGATCCGCCAAGTGACAGTATCCCACCGTAAATAGCAATCTTTTGCAAAGTTGACATTGATGGTAGTCGCATCTTGCTAGATTTGACGCTCTGATAGGGTATTTAGACTCGTGTATATTTTTGAAAACAAAATAATATACTAATATAAATATAATTAAAATAACGATATAGCAGCATTCAAATGTGAGAGATTGGCAATCGCTCGCAACACGAGATTGACCTTTAACCTCCGATAAATATGGGGCTCCAAATGTCTGTTTTTTCTCAACTCCAATTATTACTACTCGTTCTCGAAGTTTAGAATTTAGAAATTCGAAAATTCCATAATAGAACTCTAATCCTTCATGAATTTTTCTAAATGTATTTATATACATTTATCAAAATGTAGTAAATCGAGTAAATTTTTATTCGATCAAAGAATTGTTAAATAAAACTTTGTATATGTCCGCGTTTTCGATCGAGGCTGTTTCTAGTCACTGTTACGATAGCAACGAACATCGAGGGAGCCGACATCTTGACTTGAGCTGAGTGTGGACCAAAACAACCCCAATCTTTACCTAATTTACCCGTTTTGGGTTGAGTTTTTGTGAACTTTATGTTTACTATTTTTATTTTCATTTGAATCTGTACATAATTTTGTTAAATTTGGTTTCGTTTGTGCATGTGTTAACCGATTATTTTGAACCAGTGGCCAAGTTTGGACGTTATGGCCGATGTTCAGGTGAGTACGAAGATTTTTTTTCAAGCGGTATGATTATTGTATTATTACAGATCATTTTGTTACACACCTGCAAACGTTGTTACAATTTTTTCTTGAAACACAAAAGATAATTGATTCAAAGTTGTTTTCTGAGGTAAATGAGCTCCTTTCCTATACGTCACGAACGTCGTCGTCATTGACCACCTGTAAAACAACCACTCCGAAGGCAATGACACTGGTCGAGTGGTCGCCAATCACGTGTTATGTGAAGATGTGGTTATGGTTATTACATTTGTATATCAATAAAGTAACATTGAAAAGAACAGAAAAGAACTCACTGAACTGTATCCGAGCTTAGAATAATTAAAAAAAAAATCTGTACACTGTCGACGAAACTTTTTAGTTTGTTCTATGTCACTGTGTGTCTTAGCTGCAATAAGTTGTTTGTGTTTACTTCTTTCTTATTTGAAGTTGTGAAATAATTTATACGTGGGTATCAGATACGTAATTGTAACCACTGGAGCTCTCCCTAGATATAAATATGACAGATGTGAGTATGCAGTTACATGGTTATTGAAAAATAATAATGGGTGGCAATTGGGTCGCTTTAAGGACAAGGTGGCATTATTGATTTCTTACATGCTTTAGTATAGGGGACTGTAAGGTATAATTTACTTAAGCAAAAAGTTCAATGCAGCAGTTTTGCTTGATGTATCAGTGCTTCTATAATTATTCTCAGTTGCATTTAGCAAAAATTGTTTTTTTTCACTGATTTTCACTCATAAAGCTATATTTTTGTCATACTATAAATGTTTGATAGTATGAATGTGTGTGAATTACAGGAAAATTTGGTGATACAGCCACAGTAATTTCAATCAGAGGCAGTTCTTTACAAATTAAAAAACTCTTTTTCAAAGTTAATTAAAAAAATTTGAAATTTTAACTTTTGTGCAAATTCAAACCATAAAATATTTTACATCATAGTTCCAAGACCCTAATAAAGTTATATGCTTTTTTGGGATTGAAGCTTTCAATTTATATTAAATTGCACTAGTAACTTAGGAAATTCAGTTCAGCCAAATTTCTTAAATGCTTATATTTTGCATTTATTACAGTATATCCCACAGAGAGGAAACAAAGGCAAGAACCCTGATAATCCTGCATCTTTCCTGCCAACCCTCCCAGAGGTAAGATTTGTCAATTACTGTGCTGGACATGTGAAATGTCATGACTCAGCGCAACTAGATAAACATATCAAGTGCTTGTACCTAAAAATAGAATTTTAGAAAATAACTCATCAAAACTTGTTAAATATTCTGAGCTCTTATATAACTGTACCACCAATTCATACATGTAGTTGCTTTCAGTTATTATAGTCAGAATTGTGGTAACTTTGATACTATGATTGAGTTTACTGATTCCTGTTTAATTCTAGGGTATGTTAGTTGTCATGGTTGATTGCACAAACCACCTGCTCACCTTTCAGTCTACATAAATAATAAAAAATGCAAAATGAGCACAGGAAATGACCATGATGCTAGTTACCATGACAAGTCATTGTGAATTTTTTTTTATTTGTAATGTAAAATATAGCTATGGTAATTTGTAATTCCATGTGTAAGTAACAGAAAAATGTGCTGAGAACATTAGCTTTGCTGTAAATATTATATATCATTAATGCTTGTATATTTGATTCCTGTAGAAACGTACAAAACCAACATGGCAAGCTAATCCTCCATCTTTTATTCTATCTGGTAAATCACCAGAAGATGAGGTGATTGAAGAGCTTAATGTTGCTACACAGTTAACCTCTAGTAAGTCTGCTTGTTTATTGCATGGTATCTGCTGATTTTTTTCCATCCCTGATTTTATTTTTTGACCAGGTTGAAGACACAAGTCCACAAATAAGCTCCATTCTGTGAACTAGTATTAAACTCTCAATTTTTCATTGCAGGAGAACCAAAGAAAAAGAAAGTTAAAACAAGATCCTGGGAACCAGAAACTAATGGTTTAGCAAACGGTAAAGGCAAAGGAGGAGCTGTTGCTGCGGCTGGTTTTTCACATCCTAGAAAAGACAGAGAAAGTTTTAGAAGTGCTCTTGTTAATATCATATTGTGAGTAGACCAACTAAGTTTCTTTGCAAAGCTCCAAGGTAAATTTGTAGGAAATAGTGGTAATTCATGATCAGATTATTTTGGTTCCACAGTAATAGTAATTTACTGTAGGTCTCACTGCACCAAAACAAACTGATCATGAAAACTGCTATCATCCTATCAATGTAATTTGGATTATTGCAATATCCCAAGCCAGTTGCCAGTTTTGTTTGGCTTTGCTTTCAATAGTTGAAAAGTAAACAATTATTTGCATATCTGAAGTATATATTTTGATGGGGCTGCTCAAATATTGAATAAATTTGTATGTTTTCGCAAGATAAATTATTGATTCTTTAACTTTTTTAACTGCTCAACCTGACATTGCTTTTGTTAAATTGGGTAATACAGGCAAGATGACAGAGCAACACCTCCTCCAAGACCATCATCTGCAGATGGAGAACTGCCACCATTGTCAAGAACTGGCTCACCAACTGCTGCTGAGAAAGATATTCTGGTAATGAAAATTAAAATACTCTCCAAAAATCTAAAGCTTTTGCCATTAATTATTGTGTGTTACCAGATCAGTACAGAAAACATTAAATTATTCCTGAATGATTTTCTTTGTAAACTTGATGTACTTGTGTTTACAGAGGTATTATTACTACATTCATAATGGAATAGACACTGAGCATGTAGCCCCAATGGAAGATGCATGGCTAGAAGATGTACTTAAACTTGTACCAGAACATTTGAAAGAACTTGCTGACACGATAGAAACCTTATCAGATGAAATGAGGGAGGACTATTTACTCAGTGTGAAGAAAGCCATTGGTAAGTATCTTACACTCCTTCTCCTGGTAATCACCTATGGTACAGTTTGGTTCACACTATTTTTAGGTTTACACTCCTTCACTTAATTATTATCTTATTTTATTTGCCATGTCTCTAATGCTGCATGTTTTTATTTGCAGTTGACTTTGTTCTAAGAGACCCACGTGAAAAAGATGATGACAAAAAACAAGTTCTACCTCCCCATAGAGCAGAACTGGCAGTGGTACCAAAGCCATGGAATAAATCCTATTTGTGTGCTCTAGCTGAGATTGACAGCAATCTGCATGTTACCAACCCAACCATGTTACAAGTCTTAGATATGTGGCATGTTTCGTTTGGGTGAGTTCTAACATACACACATTGAAATTTCTAACAATATACTATGCCATGATACTGGCAGAGCTCACATGATATTGAGTTGTTTTTTTGTCAGAAAAGCTTACATGAAAGCTTTGATCACTGTTTTCTCTAAAAAATTTTATTTCACATTTTTGTTTTGCAGCAAATTGAGATTAGTTGACATTGAAGAGTTCCACAACAGAGAAGATTCCATGGAATTAGCAGTTTTCCAAAACCTTGTAATGAGACACATTGAGGCGGCTAAAGAAAAACTGCTGAAGAAGTATGTTCATATAAATAGTAAATTTGAAAAACAACATGATGATTCAAGAGTTTCACACTTAGAGAGAGACTAAGATCCCCTGGGTTTATTCCTATAGGGTTATGAGGCATGGAGTTGTGCATTGTTGGTTTGCCTGCTTTCAGCATAGCCTATTCTGGTCTGATTATTATATAACTTACACATTTTCTCTCTTGATATATCAATACATGTATTTGCATTCTAACTGTCAGATGGTTCCCAGAAGTGCAGAATATCTACTATCAAGGTAACAGACGTAAACAAGTACCAAGCAGTAACAATGGTCAGAAATTAGAGTCCTTTTTTAACTGTGCTGCTACCTTGATGACTGCACAACTTCAAAGCTTAGCCTTGTTATCAGTCCAAGATTACACAGATCTTATCTGTCAGCCTCCGGTAAGTTGATCTTTCAACAGCTGCTGCTTTTTTTTTTTCTCAACCTTTAGTTAAATATATCTGACTTATTTTTTTTTCAAGTTTTAGCATTAATTTTTTTACACATTGTCAATTATATTTTAGAAATTTAATTCGTCAAATAACACTTTTCCACCAGCCCAAATTTTTCTTATTATAACCATAGTGGACTTTGTTAAGTTTGTGAATGTGCAACATTTTTATTCTAGAAAATATTTTTGAGAAAATTATTTTGCAATGTATAATTTCTGCTTTGCTTTGTTTAGGAATCTATTAGAGCATATGAGCACTCAGGATTCATCATTAGATTGGTCCTGGAAGGAAATGACATTAAATTTGAACCTGCTTTCTCAGATTTTGAAGTTGTATTACTAAATGTTTATGATGTCATGGTGAAAGCAGTGGGTGTTGTCCCTCGTGTTGAAACTAAACTATACGCAGAATGGGTAAGTAACTTCAACATAACATTGAGTCAACTTTTTTGTGAATATAGTTTTTCATACTCAGCTGAAAGTAATACAACTAATGACTTTTTAACATGAAGAAGTCTCTTGTCAGGAGTGACCTTTGCAGTTTGACACCAACATGATATTTGTTACACCTTTCTTTCTTTTGTATCACTTGACATTTTCACTGCTACAGTATTTATTTACAGTAACTCAGACATCTAGCCTATACAATGTATTATAGTTTCTTTTATACTTTTGTTTTCACTGTGTATTCCCACATCCAGGGTATCACTATTTTTGTGGGATCTATTTCATTTTTAGCAATGAAGAAACAAAAGTTATCATTGCTTTGTACTGTCTTGTTGAAACATGACTTGTTATAAATACCAAATTTGAGACTTTTCAGTTGTCACCATATTATCATCAGATGTCATTGTTATCACCTCACTTTCAGGTCCTCACTAATAAAAAATTGGGTCGTGCTCTTGGAAAGATACTGATGGTTGGCAAAACATTGATTATTCAATCCCAGCCTTATTTTTCCACTCCAAGAAAAAAAATGCTCTCTTCTGTGTGTTTTGGACATTGATTTTGGTTTATTACTATTAGTGGTTCTGTCTGTTTTGTTTTTGTGCATTCTTATATACTTTTGCATTGATAGCATGTATAATTCATTTGTTTACCTGTTGATTATTTGGGTTGACCATAATTCTGTTATAAACATGTATTCTATTTGCACATTCACTTCTAATACAGAAGATTGTTAAAAAACAGTATATTTATAGCGTCTTTATTTTGTTGTGTGATGATAAACATTTAATATTATCTTCTCACTGTTTGAAACTATTTTATAGGCTGGCAATAAAGCTAAAGCAACACTCAAGCCTGTTATTTTAGATGAGATCTTGGAAGCTAACAAGGCCAAAGTCAAGGAGATTATACAGAAACAAAGTACTGGACCTATCGAACATCTCAAAATATATGATAAATACAACTTCTTAGTTAACAAACAGGTAAATATATTGTGATTTATGGCCTGGTTCTACCTCCAGTAAATCATCCTGGACACTAACAAGAACAACTTTGTTCACTATACCAATTTGACTCTTATTTAAATCTGTGTGAGTGCCCAACTATGGTTGTTGTTGTCATTGCAGGATGAGCTGCAACTAATCACAAGTTATCCTAGCACAATTTTTGTCTCAAAAAATAAACTGTTATTTGTCTTGCTGTGCATCGGTATGAGAATGAAATATTTATTATAAAACTGGGAAAGCCTGATTATTTGTGGATGTCATTTATCACATTCTGACCATTCAGGACAATCATATATTTGTTTTTTTATGTAGGCAGATGCTGATGTTGACCAGTTCTTGGCAGAAGAACACACATTTCATGATTACACCAAAGAAGTTGAAAAATATCACAAACTAGTTGATGAAATACAGTACAACTCTAGAAAGGTGAGCACAACTTGGTGTATTGGGTAATCAAAATATGGTATGAAATTTGTACAGTTTAATCCTATAGTCTTAAATAAATTACTATGTATAGCATTGTGTTATTTTGTATCTATATAGATCCAGAATTTCCTGAATAGGTTGTGACATTTTTGACTAATGAGACATGCAAATCTTAACAGTGCCATCTATATGTTATGAATTCATGCGTTGTAAAATTGGGGGATTATGGCTTAAATGCAGATCAATTTGTTTTTGCATAAATACTTAAGTGATGTGCAACTACAGCAAATATCAGAGAATGAGAAGACAATAAGTTTTATTTCATAATTTTATGTTTGAAATTTTACAATAAATGTATCGTAATTTTTCTTAGGTTGTATACCCATTGAGTCACAAATAAGGCTGATTGTGTAACTTAGACATAATTTTGTTTTAAAAATTATCAATCTTTTTAATCACATGTGAAACATAATATGGTATAGTATAGAAATACAGCACCTCTAACTATGTCTATGTACAAAAGTTGTATTTATTACATTACATTTTGGGGAGGTAGCAAATATTATTTGTCAAATCACAGTCGCTGACTGTGGTGGCAGATAATGTGAATCATACTTTAAAATTCCAAAAGTTGTCCATCCATGTATTCTCAATTGCATTGGATTTGTGTTATTAGTATTACTCAAGTAGCATATATATAATCAATCAAGTATTTTTTTCTTGTAAATTGGTTTTCTTTGTGCTGGTGTGGTTTGTTTGTTTTACACTAACAGCTATATTATTTGATAAAGGGAATGCTGGTTATGGGACACTTTTGAGCAGAATTGTTTCCACTATATACCGGTATAACAACTGATAATAAGTATATCAACATATAAATTTGGTTTTCATTTTTTTTTTTTCATTGGATGCTTGTATATCTTAGGGCTGACACTGTGAATCGCAATAAGCCATTTTTTTAACGTCTTGAGGTGACGTGAAAGTATTTTTTTAGGAATTGTCACATTTAATAACACATTTGATGATAATTTTTTTATGAAGTAGAAGTATCTCAATGCCATGTTCTCCTCTGAACGAATTGAATATAAAAAGTATATTCCAATAAGAAATCAAGTTATTCAATTTTTGCGACAGAGGTTTCAGTTCACACCTGAAATTTCCTACAAGTTCGGAAAATCCACTATTACCCAAATTAAGGGTGGAGGAAACAACTCTGCTTTATATACACCTTAATGCTTTTCCCTTCACAACAAAACTTTTTCCAAATTAACCTTGTTATGCTTTGTTTGTTGCTTTTAACCAATTCACCAATTGTATCCAGGGCGTGGAGCATAGAAAGGTTTGTGCAGCAAAGTGAAAATATGTATTTGTCTCTTTGCTTCTGGCTTCATACAAAGCTATCAAACTATAAGAACACTGCTGCCTTAGATTAAGTAGAGCACTCTTTTTCACTCACACAACAAAAATGTAGTACTTCTCTTGTAGTACTTCTTTAATTTATTTATTCACAACACTGTTTCAACCTGGAACAGTGTCACTCTGTTTGTATGTATATGATAAATATATTTGTAGCCATGGGCCACTAAAAAGGTTTTTTGCTTCTTGTCGTCATGTACGTCAGTTTGAAACCTGCCCCTCACACATTTTTTCTGCAATTTTCTGCACTCCATACGACAGAATAGGAAAATATTTGTTTTCTATTTCAGGTAATATTTTTTTTGACATCAATTAACCTTTAATGCAGAAGCATTATTTAATACCAGTAAATGAGGAAAATTGAACATATTTCTTCTTTCTGTGGTATTGAATAATGTTAATACAAAAAAAAAATGATTTTCCTTGGGAGGAGAAGCAAGCCTTTTTTCTGAGCCTTAGAGATGATAAATTTAGTTGATAACACCATGAAAACTGTGAAAGTCTAATGTATGTGATATATAACTAGGTAATAAGTAGTAAGGCTAATATATTGTACTTAGCACCCATAGAACTAGTACCTACAATGTATTTATATTAGGTGTGATTAAATTCACTGATTTAAAGAATATTACATTGTCACGAAGTTTCAAAGGTTTATCAATACTTTACTGTGATTTAATTCCTCATTAGGGCTTTGCGGGACTGCTATTTATTTGGCTGTAGTGCCGTCTTGTTATTATTTATATATTGAACCCCCCCCCCCAATTATTTGCTTGAAATCCACAATTTGTAAATATTTATATTCATATAATGTGAACAATAAGCAGCATTTTTCATCTATTTTCAATTTTTGCTTTGCATAGCAATCAGACATTGATGTCTAACTCAACTTTCATCCAACTAAATCAGCCAAATGTTATACAAGTTCATTAAAAATGGTGAAACAAGTCTACAATTATAGATTAGATGTTTTTGATACCTAATCTTGTATCAAAAATACAGTATTGATCAATCTTAGATTATTTCAACTCTTTATTCAGCTCTCAGTGTGTATAGATATTACTTGTAGTAAAAGTTATTATAAAAGCTGTATGAGTTGGAGTCACTTGTAATGTTCAGACAAATTGACATTAATATAGCTATATTGATTTTGAAAATATTCTTGTTATTTTTTATCAAAGTAGATTTGAAACTGTGAGAAACTACAATAATATAACATTCATAATAACACAATACAGTTATTGTTATGAACAATGTAACAGTGTGACCCATGCTTATATCAATATAGCCTGTGTGTATATAAGATAGTACCGTAAAATCTGTATTAGAAGTCGCATCCCTAATAGAAGTCGCACCCATTTTTTTAAAAAATTGGGAATCAAAAATTCATCATTTCTCATATGTGTAGATGCTCTAATAGAAGCCGCATCCTCTCTGTTGTATTGTACCATTTTAATAGAAGCCGCGGCTTCTAATACAGATTTTACAGTATGTTAATAGTCTACATAGGTGATTATGGTTGTAATATGTAGTCTGAACATCACAAGTAACTCTATATTGTGTGTAAAATAAACTCTCATTTAGAACTAGAAAGTTGCATGTTTTATTAACACAGTGAGTGCTGTTTGCTTTACTGAGAACATGGAAGGTACTAACATTAGTACCTTCCATGCTGAGAATCAATAATTGGTAACGTTTACAATGGCTTATATACAATTGCAAACAAACAATTTCTACTGGTAAATTTCTATCAATTTGTTTTGGCATGGTAGTCATTGTGTTTTTAATCATTTTTAGTTATTTTATAAAGCACATAGCAAAGACTTGACTTATTGTATAGAACATGTCACCACCATATATTCTATAATTCAGCACAATTGTCATTGATATATACCTGTATTTCAACTTTTTGTAGATGAGATTTCTCAGTGTAATAATATACTGTACATGTTGGGATTGATATGTTATACATATGTTTGTAGGTTATCCGTTTGGGAATGTTTGAATTACACTGTGATGAATTAATCAGAGCTCTAACCAAAAGAGCTGATAACTTACAGAGTAGACTCTTAACAAAGATGTCAACAGACCACCAGGAAGCTAATAAAAAGTAAGATACTTATTATGATACAGACAAATATTATATTTACATTATCTTGCACAATATGCATTTCACCAAAATTAACATTTATGTAATTGATTTGACAATGTATGCATACTGTACTTTATTTTAGCTGGAATTAATTTTCGCTCAATAGACTTTTTGGATGTTTTGTATGGAATTTATTTCACTGAATCATTCCTTTAGCGAAAATTAATTCCAATTGAAAATAAAGTATTTTACAGTAAATCATTTAACTTGATAGAAATTTTAGCAATTTCAGGATTTGATTGCATTAGTGAAGTCAAACGTTTGTTAAAATCACTAAAACTCTGTGTTGTTAGACCCCTGACAAAATGTCACTACTGAAAATGTTTATAAATTTTACTGACTCATAAAATTTGTCTCTCATGGAATTAAATTGAATTTCTGTACAGTAGTTTTTGTGATCAAGGTGAGAGTTGTAGCTGACACTGATTCTCTTTCTAATTAATATTGATGAATAAATTATTGAGCATGTATTTTGTACTGGTCTACTGTAGATAATTTGCTATTTAATTGTTTATTTTTTTAAATTCAGACTCTGTGAAGAATATGAAGCAATTGCTGAAAAAGCTTTAACCACCCCAGCAAACACAGAACAATTGATGGAACTAAAGATCTTCATTGAAAAAGTAGAAAATGAAACTGTCTTTGAAATGGAGAAGCAGCTTGTAGAAGCCCGTGATCGCCTTGCATTTCTTGCAGATTTTGCATCATTCTCACCAGCAGAAATGAGATTGAATAACAACACATTTCAGTGGAATGAACGCATGCCTGAAATATTCAATGAACATAAACAGATAATGCAAGAAAAGAAGTCACAGTATGAGGATGGTCTTAAAGTAAGTACAGATAAACTATGTGACTAGTGACTTAATCAAACTGGCAAAACTGCATATCAATTTAAAGCATAGACCACACAGGATTATTAGCTATCATGCTCTTCCTCAATGGGGGAGGATGAACACTTGACATCAAAGTTTTCTTCTTAAAAGAAATAATGGGTGTAAAATTGTCCAAAAAAGTGCCAATGAATCTACTCAAGTACTACCGGTACATACCACTGACAAATAATTTGATTTTTTGTCACAAACTAGGTTGTCACTCAAGTCTTTGTTCTTATTGTAATGCAGCTCAAAACTCTCCTTAAGCTGTTCTTTCTTGTACTTTTGATTTCAGCTAAGACGTGATCGATTTCTTGAAGAGTTGGATGGCTACAATAAACAGCTGGAGGAGTTCCAGACATTCGGTGACATGACAGAAATTCATCGTTACCTGAAAAAAGCACAGGCATTAAACCAACGTCTGGAGGCTGCTGCAGATAAGGTATATACATGTAGTATGATAGCTTATTGTACAACCAATACTTCCATTGGTATTTTAAGTAAATAGTTATAATACATAACCCAATTCTCTTTTATAAAAAATAGATAGAATTCAACATTGTTTTAGTTTACAGTGTTGTCATATTTGATATTGTGTGCGAGTCTGGTGCTGTGACCTAATATTGACAGACTCAAAATTGTATGAATTTTTAAATCCACCAAACTGATACTTGATACAATATTCTGTGTGGTTTGTTTAGTTGTTTCATTGATTGTGAAAGTTCATGTGACAAGAATGTATTATGCTGGATGATAACAAAATGTTGTTTTTTTACTAACTTATAGATTGAGGCATTCAACAATGAGGAAGAAGCATTTGGATGGCAAATGTCACAATATCCACAACGAATGCAGATTCTCAACACTTTGACACCGTTTCATAAATTGTATGAACTGACGGTGGAATTTAATGGACGACATAAGTAAGGCAATAGATTATATGAACTAATGATAGCATTTCATGTACCGTATTACCTTGTGATCTCAGTCATATGTTGTAAAAACAACATAACATCTAAGAATACACTGTCCATTCATTGATGTACAACATATATCATGTACTCTTTGAATGTATTCAACTTTATTTGTCATTATTGACATTTCTACAAACATTGATTCAATTCACCAACAGACAATGGATGGAAGGTGCATTCCATGAAATAGAAGACCCAGACAAAATTGAACAAGAAGTTGGAAACTATTGGCGTAGTTTATACAAATTGGAAAAAGGTTTTGGTGAAGGTTCCAATGCCAAGAAGATTTCCTCCAAAGTGAAAACTAAAGTTGAAGAATTCAAAGAACACCTTCCACTGGTGTCAGCAATCTGCAATCCTGGTCTAAGAGACAGACATTGGGAACAAATGTCAGAAATTGTTGGCTATCCTCTCAAACCTGAAGAGGTAAATGTTATATTCTTTTTCTAGTAATAACTTTTGATAATGTGCAAGTGTCATACTATCCAGCTTAGAATCATTAGTTACAGTAAAACCTGTGTTAGTGACCACCTCTATATAAAGACCACCTGCCTACTTTTTAGGCAGTCTTAAAGCATAATATATTAGCAACCTGCGTATAAAAACCAACTGTCTTATGCATTCATTCTTTCAGCAATATTTTTTGTCAATTCTCTTTTGTTTAGAGACCGAAATAATAATTAGTAATCATTTTATTTTGATCAACTCAAATAAACACTACCATCTCCGTTATTTTCTGGACAAATATTATGTCAAATGTGTCAGTTGAAGATCCATAAAAAATAATTCAACCTCCATATAAAGATTTTAATGAAGTTTCTTCAGTGGACACTAAACCAAGGTTTTAAATTATTATAATACATATGTTCATTATGTTATCCTATTACCACCTAACCTTATGTCATGTTTAATGTGTTTTCTTTCACAGGATACCACTCTGTCTAAAATGATTGATATGAATTTAGAGCCATACTTAGCTAAGTTTGAAGGTATCAGTGAAGCAGCCAGCAAAGAATACTCTCTGGAGAAAGCCATGGAGAAGATGGTGGGAGAATGGGAAAACGTAAGTTTTTATTATATCTAGGGGTATACTGGGCTATGTTTTGCTCATTTAAGGATAACATGACAGACAAATAATAGTTTTTGTGACAGCACTTTTTTATGCTGACTGTTCTTTCAATCAAAACAAAACAAATGTCTTATAACCCTATAACATTTCAGAAATTATTTCAAAACTTATTACTTGTATTTATTTATTTATTTATTTATTTATTTATTTATTTATTTATTTATTTATTTATTTATTTATTTATTTATTTATTTGTTTGTTTGTTTGTTTGTTTGTTTGTTTTTTTGTGTTTTTTTTTTTTTTATTTATTTACTTTCCTTGCTGTTATAGATGGAATTCAACATGATTCCTTACCGAGAAACTGGTACCAACATCTTGTCCTCCGTGGATGATATCCAGATGTTACTTGATGATCAGATTGTAAAAACACAGACAATGTGTGGCTCACCATTCATCAAACCATTTGAAACTGAAATCAAGTAAGTGTCTAGTTTTTATACCATCATGCATCACTTTTCAATTGACACAAGATTAGACTGATTACTGATATCAGTAATAATATCACAGATAAATTACATGATAAAAAACAATATTTGACAAAAATACTTAATGTTACCTAATATTTAATGGGTTTTGTTTTTACTTCACAGAGAATGGGAACATAAGCTGCTTTTACTGCAGGAAATTTTGGATGAATGGTTAAAAGTACAAGCTACATGGCTATACTTAGAACCCATCTTTAGCTCCCCAGATATTATGGCTCAGATGCCAGAAGAAGGTCGTCGTTTTGCTACAGTTGATAAAAACTGGAGAGATATTATGAAGGCTGCTATTATGGTATGTTTCAAAAACTAACCAATGTGTATTGTTCTGGAAGGGAAATGGAAGAATGCTTCTCATATCTTTGTTGTCTGATTTGTTTTTCAGACTAATATATAAGTTATACCAATATCTGTTTTGTTTATCTTCATGCAGGATAAACATGTTCTTGCAGTCTTAGAGATTGAGAAGATATTAGAGAAGCTCAAAAAATCAAATGAGCTCCTTGAATTGATCCTGAAGGGTCTGAATGATTACTTGGAGAAGAAACGTCTCTACTTCCCAAGATTCTTTTTCCTGTCCAATGACGAGCTACTGGAAATATTGTCAGAGACCAAAGACCCAACTCGAGTGCAACCCCATCTCAAAAAATGCTTTGAGGGAATTGCCCGTTTGGAGTTCACAGATATATTAGATATTACTCATATGCTAAGTAGTGAAGGGGAAGTTGTGCCCCTGAAGGAGACGATCTCCACGTCAAAGGCCCGTGGCCAAGTAGAGAAATGGTTACTTGAATTGGAAGGTATAATGGTTGCTAGTGTACACAAAGTAAGTAAAGTTATTAAGACCAATCTTTTTTGTGTTTTCATTCTATAAAATCTAAAACTAGTTATTAACTAAAATTCTGAATTTGCAGGTTGTTGGTGAAGCCCTAGAAGCATATGCACAAACTCCTCGCGTGAAATGGGTGGTGGAATGGATGGGTCAGGCGGTATTGTGCGTCTCCCAGAGGTACTGGACAACAGAAGTTCACCGATGCTTCAAGGAAGGACAAAAAGCCTTAGAAGAATTTTTAGAACTAAATAATTCTCAAATTGATGATATTGTCACTCTCGTTCGTGGTAAGCTCAACAAGCAGAACCGCACCACCCTAGGTGCTCTTGTTGTACTGGACGTACATGCTCGGGACACACTGGTAGCATTAGTTAAAGAGAAAGTAGGAAATGAAATGGACTTTATGTGGCTAAGTCAGCTGAGATATTACTGGATTGATGGTCACATGATAACAAGAATGATCAACTCTCAACTTCCATATGGTTATGAATACCTTGGTAATTCTGGTCGTCTTGTTATTACACCACTGACTGATAGATGTTACAGGTATGATATTTGAACACTACTTTCTACTTTTTGAGTAAATGTGATTTTTCTTTCATAATTGCTGCAAAACGAAATCGACCTTGAACTTAGCTGCTTTTGTACATTCCATAATTCCATTGTGTCATCTGATTTTCGAAAAATATAAATAAGAGTAAGTTTGTTTTGGTGTATTAGCTATCAATCACAATACTGAATTTCACAATATGTATCAATTCAGCTATTTGTGTTTAATAATCTCATTGACTTTTATGTATACATATAATATGATTTCTTGTATTGCTTTTACTACAGAACCTTATTTGGCGCACTTCATCTTCATCTTGGAGGTGCCCCAGAAGGTCCAGCTGGAACTGGTAAAACAGAAACCACCAAAGATTTGGCTAAAGCTGTAGCCAAGCAGTGTGTTGTATTCAACTGTTCAGATGGTCTAGACTACATTGCCCTAGGAAAATTTTTCAAGGGTCTTGCTTCTTGTGGTGCTTGGTCCTGTTTCGATGAGTTCAATCGTATCGATTTAGAAGTTCTGTCCGTTGTAGCTCAACAGATTCTGACAATTCAAAGAGGTACATAGATTTTTAATTCTGTCAAATTTCAGATTTGTCTATAATCACCAACATTGTGATTACAATCTCTGCCACAGTGTCTGTGGGAATTGATTTTTGAAAATAGTAAATAAATCTTGAACTGCAAATTGCAGGAAATATCTGAGAATTGTTCCTTTGTTTAGTGAATTTTAGCATAGGAACATTATTCAAATTATTTAGCAATTCAAAATCAAACAATTTAATGTGAATGCAACATATGCTTATCAAAATTAGAACGCACTGGAATTATTGAAAACTGAATGTTTTCTACTTTTTTTGCTACAATCAAATATTTCACATTATACTCCTGAGATCTAAATAAATAAAGCTTTAGGAAAATTTTTAGTGCAACTTTCATGATCTTCTTGTACTACCACGTACACGCTATTGTGTCAAGGCCACAGGTCATGAAAAAGTTTTCAGCTGCCCTGTGAAACAACTCAAATGGACATTTAGAGCATTTATACTTAATGGACAATATTCAATGTAATTTTCAGGTATTAGTTCGGCAGCTGATACCATGATGTTTGAAGGTACTGAAATTAAACTGGATCCTACATGCGCAACATTCATTACAATGAATCCAGGTTATGCTGGGCGGTCTGAACTGCCTGACAATTTGAAAGTAAGTTCAATAATTACATGTATTTTCTTTCACTCTTAAAACTTTCATAAAATCAAAGACAGTTTTTTTTTTTGAATGATTTTGTTACTTATTCTCTATATCATGAATAAAATAAGTAAATTTAGAAATCTTAGAAATTGAATTACTGATCAATCTGATTAAAATAAGATCCTGGTTGGCTTAATTTTTTTTATTTTTTTTATATAATTATTATTATTTATTTTAATTATTTATT